TCAACATCCATGCCGAGGGGGGAGATGCTGTGACGAGCGATGACGCGAGATATCATCTGATGGGGCGGCGCCTGGAGTAGCGAAAGGTCGAGGAGATCATTGCCGCCTCCCTCACAAATCAAAAGCCTGTTCTCCCCGTGCGGGAGACGCGGACCTCACCGGAGCCACACGCGCGAGGAGTCATCCCAGCATAGCGTCGTTGCCGCCTGGTTGAGGATGAGGAGTCGCTCGGGGAGGAGGAGCTCGAGCTCGCCGGCGACAACTAGCGCGCATCCGTCTTCGTTTCCGCCGCGACGGCGACGCCACGGCCCCTGTGTCACACCCTGAAGTTCTCCTCCTAAGCCTAAAATTGAATTTATAAATCACCCTAAGAAAATGCCGGTGCAAATCAAGAGAAAACCTTAATAAATTAATGCAAATAATAATCGGAATTGGCATGTGGAATTTTTCTTGAGTTCTACATGTCGAAATACGCTAACAAGATTTTTAGTGGAATTTTCAGAGCTCTCGAAATAATTTTAACCAATTAAAATTGAGCACATGCAATTTTAATCCCAGGAAAAATCCTTTTTCCTTCTTTTTCCTAGCCGAAGGCCAAGGCCCAGCTAGGTCGCGCGGGCCGGCCGCCCGCCTCCTCTCACCCGGGTCGCCGACAGGTGGGGCCCACCTGTCGGACCCGTCTCCCACCTCGCGCCGCGCCGCTGCGCCCGCAACCGCCGCCGCGCCCACGCCTTCGCCTCCTCCGGGCCACGTCGGCCACGCCCGCGCATGCGCCGCACCTCCCGCGCCCTCTCCCCTCTCTCTCCCGCCCGCGCCCGCGCCCGCGCCCGAGATGGCCAGGATTCGATTTTCGAATCCCGCCTTTCTCTCCTCCCCCACTCCCCGCGTTGGCCGGCGGAATCCCGCCCCTACCGGCCACGTCCGGGATTCCCCTCCCCTATTTAAGCTCCGCCGTCGCCCCCTATCTCTTTTTCCCCATTTCGCCGAACTCCCTCGTGCTCCCCATCGCTCCCGCGCCGTGCAACCACCCGCCGCCGCCGCTTCCGTTACTCCGGTCGCCGCTAGCCGCGGCTAGGGTCGCCGCCGCACCGCGCCGTCGCCGCCGTCGGGTTCGCGAGGCCAAACTCCACCTCGTCCGCCCCTTCCCCGTCGGGATTCGTCGCCAGAATTCGCATCCCCTCGCGCTCCGGTGAGTTCTACCTCTACCGCCGCCTTCGGCCATGGATGCCGGCCGCCGTGGTTCATCTCCCTCTCTCTAATCTCTCTCTCCTCCTTCCTTAGGGCACCCCGAAGCCCGTCCGCCGGTTGCCGTCGTCCTCCCGTGGCTCGCCGTCGCCGTTCGCCGTCGTCTTCCTCCACGCCGGCCACCCTCGGTGAGGCGTCCTCTCCCCTTTACTCCCCTCCCTCTCCCTCCTAGTGCCGCGCCGCCGCTTCAAGTCATGCGCCGTCGCCTTCGGCCGCCGCCGCCACCTCCCGTGCCGCCGGTCGCCGTCGCCGTCGGCCGCGTGTCGTCGCCGCTAGCCCTGGCCGGCCGGCCGGCTTTGATGCCGAGCCGAGCCCGGCGGCCACCTCTGTCGCCACCGCCCGATCGGCTCGGGGCCGATCTGGGCCGTCGGTCCCGTGGATCGGCGGTGGATCACCCGCGTGGTCCCGGTCTACGGTGGACCGGCAGTCTTGGGCCACTGACCCGGGGGCCCTACTTGCCGGCGCCCCTCTCCCTCCCTTTGAGCCGCTGACCAGTGGGCCCCGCCCGTCGGCGCCACCCCCACTTAATGACGTCAGCCCTGGGAGTTATTGCGCAATGAATTATTTAAGGACTTTTTGTTATAGTAATAAACACAGTGAATCTTCTAAAATTCATAACTAATTCATCCGAGCTCCGTTTAAGCCCATTCAAGTCTCAGTAAATCAAGAAAAATGTGTAGAATCCATTAAAAATGGTTTTTTTCTCTGTTTCAGTAGTCTTATAGCCTGTTTGCATTGTTTGCTTTGTATATCGCTTAGATTCCGGTTCTTCCGACGCTCCGGTGTACTTCGAAATAGTCGCCGAGGTTCCTCCAGCAGCAGAGCAAGGCAAGTCATGCTTGTCACTTGAACATGTTGATCCTATATTGCAAATGCTTTATTGTTTTTCTTCAAATACTGCATCGTTTTATAATGTTATTATTGGATGTTTACCTATTGTTACAGCCATGCTATTTTGGTACCTTGCTCCTTTGTTAGCTTGGGTTATAACATGAATAGACGTTGGACTAGGAATTGCTTAGCCATGCTTAGTTCAACTAGTACACAATGGGGAAAATCCTATTAATGTTTAGATTGTTGGTTCTAATGGTATTGTTGGATTAGTGCCACCGCTTTGGTGTTGGTTAATTAAAATAAATCACATGGTGGGCTGTGGGTGCATGGTTTTGCTGGTCGCACCCATGGCAGTTAAGGACCGGTTCGCGGGATGCCCTGGAAGAACTTATCGTACTTACCACAAGCCAGCGTGGGCAACGGCTGGGCTTGTAGTGTAGCTTTCCTCTAGCTGACGCATCCAAGCAAGGGTGGGCGTGATGGAGCGGGGCGGGCCCTGCGACGGCCTCTGTCGCTTCCGGATTCACCTAGGCACGAGAGGGGACTGCCTGCTGCCTTGCGAGGAGTGGGGGTGAAACCTGAGGTGTGGTGTGCTTCGTTAGAGGGGGTTATGCGAAGGGTCCTGTCACGGCCTCTTTCCGGTATGTCGTGGTGGCATGTCGGCACACGGAAACGTGTCGTGGGGCTGTGTCTTGTGGGTACAGTTGTACACCTCTGATCAGAGTAAAACTATTCGAATAGCCGTGCCCGTGGTTATGGGCGGTCAACCAGATTCACCGTGATTAGTCTCACCCTAGTTTAGTCTATTGAAATTGGATAGTATAGGTGGATGGTTGGGCCTGTCACAACGTGGTATAGCGTTGGACAGTGGATGATTAATATTGATTAATTATTATGACTGTTTTCTTCTTTAAACTTCTGTTTATAAATGCTCGCTTTATGCAAATGAACCACTCTAGCTCTCCTTTGATAATTCCCTGCATCATACCCCTATTCCGGTATGACTTGCTGAGTACAGTGGTTAGTACTCAGTCTTGCTCTATTTTTCCCAACCCCAGAGTACGAGTATGTGTCAGATGGAGGTTTCTCCGAGGAGTAGGCTTCGTCCGTGCCGTCGAGGATGCCTGTGGAGTGGTGTTCCCGCTGCAGTTCTAGTCAAGGCTTAGCTCCTGTTGTCTTTCGTTTTTCCGCTGCATTTATGTAAGACTTTTATGATGTTTGTAAGACGTGGATCTGAATGTCAACATTGTCGTTTGTGTACCCCGGCCGATCCTGGACGGGGATTTTAATGCACATTCTGCTTGAAATTCTATTCGGGAATTTCTGGGCGTGACACCCTGTCCCTTCATCCCCGTGCTCGTCCCCACCCCTTCATCTCCCCATCTTCTCCAATCTTGGCCGAGGGGGTTGGCTCTGCTGTGCTCTTCAGCGGCGAGTGAGTAGAGGGAGGGAAGAGAGGGAAACGCAACGCCAGATGATGGACGCGGAAGTCGAGGATGGTGCGACCAGCGGCAATGGATGGATGCGAAGAACATGATCAACACAACCGGTGTCCGCGAGCTAGCTCCGTAATCACCGGTTGCCTCGCTCCATCTGCACAACCGAAGACTTTGAATGGCATGTAAAAAAAAAGAAGATTGGACCAAAAACAATTAATCTGAATGCCATGTCATTTGCCATGCAGGCTACAACCGTCTGATCTGAAACGAGGGGGTCATTTAAACGGTTTTGATAATTGGAGGGTGTCAAATACCCAATTTTATAGTTTAGGGGTGTATTTTAGACAAAGGTAAAAGTTTGAGGGTTTAAAATGGACTTATCCCTTAATTTTTCGTTGTGATCTGACGATAATGCATGCGGCCGTCGATCGCTCACCACGAGCTACTAGCAATGACGAGCGTTTGCTGTCAGCCATGACGAAGCTTTGACATGACGCATCTGTGGCAAGAATCCAACATGATGCTTGGGGGCGAGAGCCGTTCGAGTGGATCGGAAAATTGCTCCAACTGTTTCGGATAAACTATCTTTGCATTCAAAACAGTAATGCCAACAGCGTATAGTATAACAGTAGTGTGTCGAAATTATTAGAATATAGTATATATTGGAAGTAGAATCGTCATGCCGAAGATGTGTTGGTGTTCGTCGAGTGCCAATAATTTGGATCAGTAGTATTGAATGGTAACACCACGAGTTCGTGCTTGACAAGACTATATGATGAGTGAGTTCATAATATATGTAGCATAACTTTATACTCTCTCTAAATTGATCATACATCGTCAATATCATTTTCAATACTGTTTTAGGAGTTGATTTTACCGACTTTCACAGTAGGAGGAGTCGTTTTAACCAGTCTTGCGGTTAAGAGATACGAGTCAAATTCGGTCTATTTTTTGAGAGAATTAAAGTGGACTTTATCCAAAGAAATTCGCCTGGCCCATCGCGCACTCTCGTCGTTGGCCCATCTCGCTCTCCCCCGCTCTATTCTCTTGAGTTGATTCATGGCAGCCCAGCCCGCCAAGCTGCCTGACGGAATGGCAGCCCAACCCACAAGGCGGCGTGTTGCTGTTTTTTTTTTCTTCAGTACAATTTCTCAATCAAGCATGGCAGTTGCACAGCTTCTTTTTATTATTATTATTTGAGGTAAGCCATTTGGCGCGTTTTATTAATTTGTAAACATAATTACATCATTCACTAAAACGTTCAACAAGAAAATTGGGGCCTCATCAACCCAATTACAAGAATTCTTAAACTTAAAAGCATGATTAGCTAAAACATATGCTACACAATTAGCTTCCCTATTACAATGCTCAACAGAGACTTTAACAAAATCATATATCAAAATCTGCCCTGAAGGCTGAACATCATCTCAACGAAAGCTGCAGAGAATTTCCCCCACCCCCTAGTTTCACCAACAAGTGAAATAGCATCCACAAACTGATCGAATTATACCCACAAACTATTCAACCAAAATACAAAATCATGCCATATTTATTTACTTATTATTACTCCAGTAATAATAAATCCCTTATTTAATCCATCCATATGATTCCATGTGATACCTATCATTAATGGTTCTCGCACGTGCGAACATACACACGCACACGTGCGCAACAACAAAATCATATCATCCGTACATGGCCACGAACTCGGCGATGTTCCGGTCCGAGCTCCCGCCCTCCCGGCTCGCCGCCCTGGCCTTCTCCATCCACGCTGCGGCGTTCCTCCGGTACTCGCCGCTCCTCTCGCCGCGCATCACCTCCTCGATCCCGCGCGCCACCTCCGCCCTCGCCGCGAGCCCGGCGGCGGCGGCCGGCCGCACGCGCACGCCGGCCCCCCACACGGCCTCCACGTACTCGGCGTTCATCGGCTGGTCCGTCCACTGCGGCAGCGCCACCATCGGCACGCCGGCGACCAGCGCCTCCGCCGTCGAGTTCCACCCGCAGTGCGTCAGGAAGCAGCCCACGGCGGGGTGGGCCAGCACCTCCAGCTGCGGGCACCACGACACCACCATCCCGTTGGCGGCGGCGGCGGCGGCGGCGTAGCCGGCGGGGAGCTTGTGGGACTCCGACGAGCGGACCACCCAGAGGAACGGGGCGCCGGCGTCGAGGAGGGCGAGCGCGACCTCGCGCATCTCGGCCGGGTCGAGGTCGGAGAGGCTGCCGAAGGAGGCGAACACGACGGAGCGCGGCGGGTGCGCGCCCAGCCACGCCACGCACGGCGCCGTGGTGAGCTCGAACAGGTGGAAGCCGTACTTGGTGTCGCCCGGCATGCGGCCGTCGCCGAGGTAGGCGGCCGGCACCGTCGGCCCGATCGTCTTGGCGCGCCACGCCGACGCCATGTACGCCGCCTCCTGTGCATCCGTACAGAAGGTCCATTTATTTCGTCATGAACACTCGAGAAAGCTGCGCGCCGTGTTTAAGTCATTTTTAACTTACGCCGTCATTAGCCTGACGTTTGTACGTCATTTTTAACTAACGCCGTGTTTATAGTTATAAAATAATTCTTCAAACTTCCAACTTTTTCATTACATCAAACTTTCCTACACACACAAACTTCCAACTTTTCCGTCGCAATGTTTCAATTTTAACAAAACTAGCAATTTTGGTGTGAACTAAACACAGCCTAAATAAAATCCACTTTACTCACCCGAAATCTATTATATACTAAAAATCCATTAAACTTTCTACAAACGCTCCCAAGCCACCACTTGGCGCTCTAATAAATTAGAGAAATTCAAGAAATTTCAGGAAAAAAGTAAAACATCTAGCCCTTGATCCAAACGCTGCGCGCAAATTAAGCTTACAGAATTCCTAAGGGGCGCCACTTAATATAGCGGGCCCATTATTTTATACCATTAGATATATATTAAACAAAATAAACCAAAATCCCATCTCCCACAAATCCTCTCCCGCTCTCCTCATGGGCCTCCTCTCCTCCTCACATACAGTACGTACACATATATGTACATACGTTCCTCCCACGCGTCCTCTCTTTTCTTCATTCCATCCATCTTCTAATTTTTTACAACATATTCTATTTATCTATATTAGCAATGTGTTTTGGTATATAAGAAATACATCGTTTGACAAAAATTCCTACAAATAGCAAAAATTAATAACATATACTATCATGTGGTCGTAAATAATTTCACATCCTCTCACCTTGCTCACATTGGTCTCCTTAATTTCTGGCTAGCAAATAATAAATATCCATTAAATTAAATATCGAGTATCACAATATATCTATCTATCTATTATATAATAAAAGTCCATTAATTTTTCTATAAACGCTCTCAAGCCACCACGTGGCACTTTTACAGAAGCTCCTAGACCTCCACACGGCAATGTCAAATCTCACCGTCGATTTTCACTTAAATCGGTGGACCCGATAATTTATTATCGGAACATTAGATTAGATTAGGTGTATTTTATTTAAAAAGAAACTAATGCCTTACTGTTCACCAGAAAAACAAAACAAAAACGCAAGTGCTCCATAGGTACGTTCATACGTAAGCATAAAAAAACAATGAATCTTACCTACTACTAGTGTTTCGATCTACTACTACTGTTTATCGGAAAAAAAAAAACTACGCACACTTACTATAAAAACAATAAAGAAAAAAAGACATATGTATGTAGTACTATTAAAAAATCTATAATCTTACTATCAAAAAAAATCTATTATCTTTAAAATAGAGTTTTCTACTATTTAAAGATAAAATTTATTACTCTATAAATTAAGCAAATATAACCGTCGATCTTTACTTAAATTGGTGAACCCAATATTTTACACCATTAGATTAGATGTATTTTATTTTAAAAACTAATATCTTATTACTCTGTGTATACGGGAAAACTATATAAGGCTAAAAAAGAAAAGAAAAACATACGTATTCCATACATAGATACGACTTGGAAAAAGAAATAAAGCTTAACTACTGTCCATGGGAACAAAGAAAAATCTAGGCATGGTGGTCTTTTGAAATAGTATTTTCAAAATCCTTTACTATAGAAACAATAAAACAAAAAAAAAGTGTATCATTCAAAAAAGATCGATGGTCTTTTTGAAATAGTATTACCTGCTATTTAAAGATAAATATACTACTCTACAAATTTACGTAAATATACGTTGTTAAACTAAATTTATATTATAAATATGAAATATCCCATCAATGATCTTTATTCGTTCTATCTTAACATACGAGGCTGATATATATAATAATTAATGCTATGATTTTTTTTTATTTCACATCATATTTTAGGGTGTCAAATATCACTTAACAAATATACAACGCTAATTTAAATCTACATTTGTAAAATGAAAACAACACAATTTGGTTGTTTTATTTTACACCATTAGATTAGATTTATTATTTAAAATAATACATTTCTTCTATATACCTCGACCGAAAAAAGTACTCCATACATACATATGGTTGAAAAAAAGAATAATGCTTACATATCGTTTGCTACAAGAATTACTTATGGTAAAGCCAAAAAAAGTCGGCAGTCCTTAAAAACTAATTTTCTACAATTTAAGGATAAAAATATAATAATCTTCAAATTTATGCAAATGTAAATATAAAATATTCAATCAATTCTTTTAAAAGTTCTATCTTTTAAATTATTTTAAAATTATACATCCAATTTGTGATCTGGCTGTATTCCTTTAAATAAATAAACTACTAATATCTATAGCCATAAATACATCTCAAATATGGAGCCGACATGTAATAATTAATGTTACAATAATAATTTCACATCATATTTTAGGTGTGAATAAACCTTGACAAATATACAACGCTAACTTAAATGTACACGTGTATTCTCCAAATTACTAAAGGTGTCTCATTTGATTAGAAACAATAGGTGTTGAAAACAATGCAGACACTGAACTAACATGCACTACACTATAGATATTTGTCAAAATATGATATGATACTTTGGAGATTATCGTGGTAGTATTTAAAAAATCACGTTGTCTCGGATATGTATAAATTCTTCTATTGTTTCGAGATAAAATTTAACTCCTTCTATTTATGTGACGGAGGGAATATAAGTAATATAAGTCTATCTTTGATTAGATGAAGTAGTACCATTAGCTATATTTTTAATAGAAAATATATTTCATTAATATATAACAAAATTAAAATATTACTTAATGTCATCTATTGCATACAAAATAAAAAATGTTATATAAAGTTTGGAAACTCCAAAAATTTTAAAAATAGAATCACACATAATATAAATAGATATGAACTAACTTCATTATTGTGACATATTTTTTCTAATAAATTTGAGGATATACAAGTTCAAGTAATACGCCCAACAGTTGTCAACGAACATACATTTAAAATAGAGTAAAATATATTTCAAAAATATCATCCACACATAAACATTCGTAATAAAATTTCAAACAAGATTAAACAACATGCCCGCATGTATGCGCGGGCTACCTTCCTAGTTTACTTTAAAATTTCGTGATGAACACTTTACTTTACAATTTCAACAGATCACTTAACCTCATAAACTATATTTTCTCTTTATTTCACACCTTAATTTTTTAGAAATGGTTCACTTTACTTTGTAATGGCATTCCTCTATAGTTTGTATTTTACATTAAAAAGTTTGGTAGGATGATATATATGAATTACTACTTAAATCTCAACATTTTTTTAATTCTTTTATCACAGTTATTTATATAGTTGCAGGCACATAAGACTATTGTAAACTCAAGGTTTTAATGCTCAAGCAAACGGTCATGAAAAAAACTAAAAATATTTTTGAACTTTAAAAATTGTGTAATTTATGGCTCTAAAATTTTTTTAATCTTAAAATACAACTTGCATAAAGTGGGCAAAAGTGAAATGTTATTAAAAAGACAAAGTGAACTATTTCCAATTATTTACGAGTAAAATGAGAAAAAGATAGTGTAGAGGATTAAGTGATCCAACGATATAATTCGGTTGAGTAAAATTGAGTTTTTTGAATAATAAAAATCATTTAGAAAAAGACTGGATACCAAATAGGGTATCTCAATAGCTCCAGAATCGAATAAGGGTGATGGAACACTCGGTAGCTGCTGTTAGTGTCACCTGCGCTAGCGCGACTACGAGCCTATGACTACGACATACATAGGTGGAGATTAAGTTTTTTACGTAAAATGATGTGGTATTAACGTATGATTGATTGAGTTTTAATAATTAGAAACTTAAAAATAGATTAATATCATATTTTAGAGCAACTTTCATATAGAAAGTTTTCACACTAAACACATCGTTTAGCAGTTTAAAAAACATACCACGAAAATCTTAATCTTCGTAACATTCTTTTTGGAGAAAAGAACGGGACCATACAAACAATATATTAAACGACCGACATGTCTACATCGTCCCGAGATAAAATAACGTGTATTATTGATCTTACGAATATGATATAATATTTGAGCAGGACCAGCTTGATTGCCTGAAGATAAGCATCAGTTTCAAAGACTTGTTCGCTTGGAAATGGGAACAAATATCATAAATAATTCGAATTTAAAATTACTCATGGACTCTTATCACTGTAGACGAATCTTCTGCAATCAAAAGATCTGCCCTGCGAGTGCGATTGCACACGGCAGGTTGATAACGCCCGGCAGGACGAACTATTTGGACTATTTTTGGTCTTTGCGAATCTGAATCCCCAGTAATTTAAGTTCTAGAAAAGGACACAAGTAGAAGTATTCATTACAGCTTACGGCCTTATCTTTTCGCTTATACTTATCAGCTAAATTTTAAATTTTCAACCTTAAATTTAAAACCGATTTTAAGGTTTTCTCATTAAAGTTTATTTTTCCGCTATTGCTTTTATATCGCTATATATATATATATATATATATATATATATATATATATATATATATATATATATATATATATATATATATATATATATATATATATATATATATATATATATATATATATATATATAAAAGTCGGCTGATACGCTTTAAAAAGGTTCTAGTTCTATATATTCCCTTTCTAGTCTTTCTCTTTTGATGTCGCAAAGTTGAAACCAAGAAATATCTGTTACTTATTTATATATATATATATATATATATATATATATATATATATATATATATATATATATATAATTTTTATTCATAAATAAATTACTTTTCGTTTACAAGTATGTCGTTCCACTTATTTCGCAGATAAACCAAACGACGGGGCTGTTGGCGTACAGCAGGTCGTACCGGATGCTAACCTAGCAAACCAGAGATGATATATGGTGGCCCAACCAAAATCGAAACGTTAAAATTTAATTTTAGATTTGATTTTAATATTTTTTTCATCCTTTCCTTTTAAGTACTCCCTCTATTTCCTATTAAAAATCGCATTGATCTTTTTACTTAACTTTTCAGGTTTAATCATAATTATAGAAAAAAAATTACTATAAAATCAGATTAGTTTATAAAACATAGAATATATTTATATTTTAATAATATATTTGTTTTATGTAAAAATATTGCTATATTTTTCTACAATCTTAAAAAGATTAACTAAAAAAAATTAAAACAAAGGAGTATTTTTAGTTGCTAATACGTACAGTACGTATTATGGTTTATGATTAGCCGTAGACGAGACGATGTAACTGCAATTTCATTATCACTAAGCTCACCTCGGGTTCGAGCTCGTAGAAGGAATTGACGAGCACGTCGTCGGCGAGCTCCAGCCCGTCGAACTGCTTCATCACCAGGTCGAAGTACGCCGGGTACGGGCCGGGGCCGACCTTGATGAACCACGGCAACCCCTCCGGCGACAGCGCCGGCAAGCCGGGCAGCGCGACGGCGCCGCCGCCGCCATCCTCGCCGTCGCCGGCCTCCACGGGGACGCGCAGCCGGCCGCACCAGACGTGGCCGTACACCACGTTGACGGCGCACGGCTGCGTGAAGAACGCCACCGCCGCGGCGCCGTGGCGCGCCGCCACGGGGCGCCCCCACGGGAGGAACGCGTCGTAGACGAGGACGCGCACGGGGCGTCGTCCACCGGAGTCTGAGGCCTCGTCCCGGAGGAGCTTGTCCAGCGTCGCCGCCCCCGCGGACTCGAGGCGGGACAGGTAGGCCGTGACGCCGCCGCCGCCGTCGTCGTCGCAGCACTCGCCGAAGCCGCCCGCGTCGCAGCCGTCGGAGATGGTGGCGAAGCGGACGGCGCCCGCCGCGGCGGCGTCGGGCGACGCGCAGGTGGCGAGGATGTAGCGGGTGACAGCGAGCGTGGGGCGCATGCCGTGGAACGCGAGGCGCTTGGCGAACTGGAGCATCGGGTGGACGTGGCCCTGGCTTGGGTACGGCAGGAGGAGCACGTGAGCTCCGCCGCCGCCGCCGTCGTCGCCGTGCGAGCCCATGGCGGCTTCGCGAGCTATAGCTAAACTGAAAGTCTGAACTGCGCATGGACTGATCGCGGTGTTACAGGAGTAGCATTTAAATTATATTGTGTGACTACATCAAACCCAGATAAGTGGAAGTGTGGAGCTCTTAATTAGTATCATTTCGTCCCATAAAAAATTCACATAGTACCAATTATGATATATCCTAGTATTACCAATGTTATCATTTGGCTTATTTTTGAAAATAAGCAAACGGTATATTTGCAAACGAAAATAATTTGTAAATAAAACTTTTATATACGTGTTTTTAACGATCTAAAAGTAAAGGCTGAAAAATAAATTATGATGACGAAACTCAAAATCATCTCTAAATTTAATTCAAATTTTAGCTTATAAGCATAAACATAAACGAAAATATGAGGTTGTACGAATCTATCTCTTTTCATATTCGTAGTATTAAGATGTGTAACTGTTGACGAAAAATCAAACACACCGGCCCGGGAGATCTGTTTAGCTCTTGTGCAGGTCCAAAGATTAGTGAGATGCGGGCATGCCAGTCAGTTTGATCCTGCAACTGACAAGATATGCAAATAATAGACAAAACAGCCGATCGGCTAACAAGCCGATGGAGCAGTTCCAGCCGATAGCCGATAATAAGCCAATGCCGATACCAGCCGATAGCGATAGAGTTTTGAGCAATCGGCTATACATCCAATGTAGATTCTAACATTTTAGTAAATAATGATATATACGCAATCGGCTACTGATAATAAAATATAACAATAATATAGTCCAGTATAAACCAATCGGCTAGCATTGATATGATAGAATAAGCACTGATCTGAAGGTTAAAGCATACATCGGCTAGAGGTCCAATGTCATGAAATCCACAAGATTAGATTAAACAGTGAAACCTTTGTTGTCATCGGCTAAATCCAACTTATATATATATGCAATCCTTATGAGCCGATGCAACGTTCAGATAACTCACCGGCTGAAACCCCGATGAAACCCTTATTGGCAATCAAGGAGCATGCTAGAGATTATGGTTCTAAGCATGACTTAGTAGATCAAACTTAACTGATGCAGCACTAAGTATGAAAAGAAACATAATATCTAGTCAATCAAGCCGTTGATTGAGTTTTAAGGGTGGTAGATGTCTAAGTTAATCTAATCTAGCAACGCGACTTAGCCGATACCGGCAGTAACCCTAAAACGAGAAGCAGCCGATAGAGCTAAATTGATATGTTAAGACTAGATTAACAGAGACATATGATAAATAGGTAGGCAAATATATCATCCAAACCAGATCAATCCAAGAGGTCAAATGTACTGATGCAGCCTTGAACGACGCCGACGTAAACGATACAATTGCCTGGGCCGACAGAACATTGGACTTACCCCTTAGCCGGAGATCGAACACCGATGCAGCCCCGCGTCAGGTGTCAAGTCCCGCCGGATGATAAAATAAAGTAGAAAAGGTAAAAGGTGGCGATGCGCCGAATTGTATTGATCGTGAAGATAATTTACAATGACCCCGGGTGTATATATTTATACCCATGGGTAGATAGTACTTGTAGGACAAGAAAGAAACTTTTCTAAAGATAAAAGGAAAACATAAAGTCCTTATAGGACACTAAACACACTTTCCTAAAGATAAAAAGAAAACTAACAAACTATTCCTAATTAATAGATACAACTGCCTTCTTCGGACTCGATCCATACGTGGTAATCATCATGAAGCACGTCAACTCAATCCGACAATGATTCCAATATCACTTTACCGGAATCGGCTACATCGGCTTGCCTTGTTCGATTCGGTAACTACCGATGCACACTGTAGCCGATGCGGTTCCGAAGCCGATTCATACCCTGTTTCCGTTATCGATTTCCTCCCAAATCCGCTTCGGCCTTAACTCCAAATCCGGTGTAAATTTAACAAATTTAGTCGTTAACAGTAACATTCGATATTAGGTTTATTTTTTTTATGAGATAGGGGAGTACTCTAACAGTACTGTAGTAGCAGCTATCATCCGATTTAATTTATTTTATTTGGAATTCCTAGAAAAGCGATTATAAACTTTTTAGTAAAAAATATAATGTAATGTAACTAAAATGTAATTACAGTATAATTATATTGTAAATACGTTGTAACTTTTAAATATATGGCATGTTTGACCGCACTCATCCGGCTATGGTGCAGCCGGCCAGAACGGTGCTCTGTTTAAGCAGCTGCAACAGCAACATTGTGTGCACCTTGTAGCCGAACAGGTCCATGTATACGAGTTACTCCATTCACCCTAAAGTAAAATAAAATCTATTATGAGTTGTGACGTATTCTCTATGAATTTAAACTTAATATCGTGCTAGGTTTTGTTTATTTATTTTGGAACGAAGTGAGTATATATGATAGTGGTACTTAAGTTACTTGTGCTTTTAAATACTTATATTAGTCAGAGTGTAATTACACAATTATATTATAGAAATATTAAAAAAAGTTTTCTAATATATCTTTTGTCCAAATTTCAAATTTCACAAAAGATATAAAAATAAAGATGTTTTTACTGGTATTTTGGTACGTCATTTGTGTATGAGTCGGTTTTTAAGTTCTTTTGCTTTTGGAAATACATATCCGTATTTGAGTCAGTTTTTAATATCGTTCACTTTTGGTAATACAGAAGGAATCATATAAGAAATCTGTTTAAAAAAACTCGCACGCTAACTTGAGATGATCGGACATCTAACTACAGCTCATGATTTTCTAACAGTGTTTTTTATCTTAACTAAACCATATAACAGTAATAAGATTAAAGTAGTACTTCACCCGTTACAACGGGTATTTTTTCTAGTTTCACAAAAGAAAAATGAAAAAGGTGTGGACGAGGTTGAGCCAATTTCCAGGGAGGAGTACCAGCATGACGTTTAAAGCTTCGCTACGGCGAACTTGCGCCGCCTGGACTCTTTAGTAACTTTTAGAACACGCTAGCAGTTGTGCCGGTGTCAGCCGTCGCGTCGGTCCAACGAGCGTGAGAGTAGTAAAAAGTCCACTCGCAGCGAGAGATGGAGATGGTCGTGTCAACTGCGCCGCCGCCGCCGCTTGGGTCTCTCTGGAGCTCACGTCGCCGGCAGCCAATAAATCCGATCATATCCTATCCCTGGGCAACGAGGCGGACAGGTGTTTGCGAAGCAATTTCAACAAGGGCTTTCGACTCGTTGTGTTTGATGCTAAGCTGGCTAATTTGGAAGGAGGGAAATGCTACTCCCTTCGCTTTAGGTTATAAGATGGTAAAAGTTAAACTATTTTAAGTTCGATTATTCTCTATCTATTTTTGGTAAGTTATATTTTATCTTGGTACAATGAACAATGATAAGTAATTTTACTTATCATCCATTTAAACAGGCTAATAGTTATTCCTCGTACCTAAGTCATTCATTAATGTTTACATTTCTCGATGTCCATGTTACCAATCTGAGAAAGTCATTAAAAAGATAGGTGGTTGGATTGAAATATATCTATCAAAAGTAATTTTTCAGATTTGGAAATATGCCAATCAAAATTAGATGGATGGAGTAATATTTATAATACTAAATTAGTTTCATCAAATCAACAGTTGAATATATTTTCATAATAAATTTGTCTTAAGTTGAAAATATTTATACTTTTTTTAGAAACTTGCTCAAACTTAAAGTAGTTTGACTTTGACCAAAATCAAAATGTATAACCTAAAATGGCCGAGTTCGCTAGAACCGGTTGGGAACAAGTCTCCCGTGCACGGAAAACGGAGCGGTCTATTAACATGTGATTAATTAAATATTAGCTTTTTTTTCAAAAATGGATTAGTTTAGTTTTTTTAAGCAACTTTCATATAGAAACTTTTTTTTAAAAAAATGCATCATTTAGTAATTTGAAAAACATACACGCGTAAAATGAGGTAGATGGGTTGAGATTATGAGAACATGGGGTTGCAAACCCAGCACTTGCAGCTGTTTGAGGAAGTCAAGGATGAGATTATGATCTCGAAAGAAGCTGGAGTATTCAAGAATCCGGATAAGTAACTTACTGATTCTAGTGGTTACCAGCTGCGGCTAACATGTTTTCCAGGTCTCGGCAGCGTTCTGCCGCTGGCAAAAGATGCTCATGTGTTTGTCTATTATCTGTAAATATCTTCTTTTAGCTGGCCAAGAAAACGAAGCGATGAATTAGTAAACGGTTAATTAAATATCCATCCGTCTCATAATACAAGGGGTTCTCATTTTCTGCTTACACTGTTTGACCACTTGTTTTATTTAAAAATTCTGTGCAAATATAAAAAACAAAAAGTTGTGCTTAAATTACGTTGGATAATAAAATAATTCACAAATAAAATAAATAATAATTTCAAAATTTATTGAATAAGACAAATAGTCAAAGAGTACAAGCAAAAAGTCAAAATCCCTTATATTAAGGGATAGAGGGAGTAATAGCTAAAAAGAATTTAAAATGGGTTAGTATGATTTTTTAAAGCAACTTTTCTATAGATATTTTTCTATAAAAGATATACCGTTTGGCAGTTTAGGAAATGTATACGCGAAAAACGAGAAGATGATGAGACCTAGAAGAGCCAAACACAGCCAGACTACCTTCGTCCCAAAATATAATGACCTAGGATTGGATGAGAAGTTTTATGTTCAGATTCGTTGTATTAGAAAATATCCCATTCAGTTCTATATTTTTATATTTTTGAACGGAAATAGTAGAAATTAATCTTACTATAACTGGTTTGGCCAACCCGGCAAAACAAATATATCCTATTCCTGTTGTCAAAAAATTCCAAAGACACGGTGATCACGGGGAGCAGCGACGTGAGTACCAGAACGTCGATAGACAGAGAGTGATGTGAGGAATAGTTGTGTGAGATTTGGATTGGTCCGTATGTTTAAAAGATATAATTAAACCATTAGAGGCTAATTAAAGATATATAAACCATTTTCATCGTCTAAAAAGATGGCTCTACGGCGGACTATCTAACAGTATCCTCTGCCGTACAGTCCATACCGTACCACCAATATATGTATGTATCCCTATATATGTACTTTGGTAATAAAGTAAGTCACAAATTAAATAATTAATAATTTCAAAAAATTGCTAACCGGATGGCTGGCCAAACACCCCCACCGCCTGGCCAAATGTGGAGAGGCAAACTCACTAGCCAAATATGGTGGGCCCCACACCGATTTGTGTCTCCGGCTCCGCCGCCTTCTCGATGGCCTCGGAGCAGTGGCGTGGACAGGGATGTAGCTGAGGATCCACCATCGCCGTCGCCGCCACATCTCGATGGCGTGAGCAGCAGCTGAGGATCCTCAACGTCGTCGTCACCGCTGATTTCTGCCGCATATGCCAATTTCCGCCGCCATCGTCAGATCCACCTGTTCGCCCGCCGCCTCCCTTGCCGGCGCGAGTAGCCGCAGCCCGCGGCATCGCCTCCGCCTCTTGTTCGTGCCACCAACAGCAATGTCGTCTCCGCTGCGAGTAGCTGCAGCCCGTAGCCTCCGCCGCCGACACCGTCATCCGTTTCGCCCGCACGTCCGCTCCTGCCCGCTTGCCCGCTCGCCCGCCGACAGCACGGGGGAATCGACGAGGGACGGGGACGGCTACGTCGCTGCCTCCCAGTTGTCGGCTGCCGCCCAGATCCACTTCCCAACCGCTTGACAAAGAGGAGCACGCAGTGGAGCGCCATTAGAGCCGGGGAGGAGAGGACACGGCGGCGGTGGCGGCGTGGATGCCTCTCGTCTCGGCTTCCCTGCCTTCTTGTATCCATGCTTTGTCGTGGCGGCGGCGCCCCCTGGCCTAGCGTCTGCGCCATCGGAGAAGGGAGAAAGAAGGAGAGAGACGAACGTGTGGGTCCAATTGCTAGAATGGAGAGAATAAATAGAGACACTGTTAAAGTGAAAGGCAAATTTAACTCTCCAATTTTCTAGATGACTGGCAAAATGAGTTTTTGGAGAACTTAAAATAGCCAATCTGTTGGAGATGTTTTGTGTCGCAATAAAACAGTAAAAGCTCCCCACATGCGCTTCGTCGTCACGCGACGGAGAGATGCTTAGCGGCGGTGAGCTATGTCGTGGCGCAGTCAAACACACCATCCATCACAGCTCACTGGAGCTTGTCCCACACGGTCTGTGCTGCCGCTGAAAATGGCTCTCTCTACGACTGCACTACCGTAATAAATCTAAACAAAATACTCCCTCCATCCCAAAATGTTTCACGCCGTTGACTTTTTAAAAAATATTTGACCATTCGTCTTATTTAAAAAATTTAAGCAATTATTTATTCTTTTCTTATTATTTGATTTATTGTTAAATATAGTTTTATGTATACATATAGTTTTACACATTTCACAGAAGTTTTTGAATAAGACGAACGATCAAATATATTTAAAAAAGTCAACGGCGTCGGATGGAGTACTAGATTTTTCTTTCACGAGACGAAGCGACTACAATAAGGTTGTGTTCAAACTTACAAATTCATTTCTCTTTTTTCACATGCACGTCTCTCAAACTATTAAACGGTGTGTTTCTTACAAAAAAAATTTCTACACATAAGTTACTTTAAAAAATCATATTAATTCATTCCTAAAAAGTTAGCTAATATTAACTAATTATGTGCTAATGAGTAGCTCCATTTTATGTGCGCGCGAGAGAGATTTGTTACCGACAGCAATCAACGAACACAGCCTTAATAGCACCTTTGTACAATTGTACCTTGAGATCGCGAATCCGGATGCACGGTCTATCGAAGAAATACTATCATCAGTCAGAATTTTATCCACAGAAGGGGAGGTTCACAAACAAAAAAACTGGATGATAAAACGGAGGACGTAGCAGCAAGAATTGTCCCAGAAACCCAAAATGCCAGGAAAAAGTTCTATAATCTTCATATCACCACCATCATCTCGCACCGCCGCCACCGAGTAGAAAATGTTGGAGGTCGAACCAAAATGAAGCATCAGCGGTGGAAATCGAAGTACCCTGTGACATACAAATACAAGTGTTTGATACTATTCATCAAGTCTGGGGAACCCATAGCATTACCACAAAAACGGTTAAAACGAGAAAATCTCTTGAATCCCATAAGATAAATAGATAACACTGGTGAATTTAACTACCGAAGAATACACCACAGATGTACCGAAGCTTGTTCAGTTCACTTTTTTTTTTGTTAGTGTATTTACTCAAACATTGGCAATTTGTTTCTCATATCGTGTAAATTTGTCATATGTGGATTGCTAGAGTAAGAACTCATCAAATTCGGTAGCTATATAACTTTACTCGTACATAAGGTGGAACAATAAACGCATAAGGAAGTCATTCGTCTATGCAGATGGAGATAACATGATTAATTAGTTTTCTAGCGAGAAATTAATAAATTGCAGAGGGGATCAGATCAGAAACATGTAAAAGGAGCTTGCAATCCGTAACAGAAAAGATTAGCACCTACGTAGACATTTACCTGATCGCTTAACCAACTTCTTGCCGTCCGGAAGACATCATCACATGCCTGATTTGTAGCAGATTAGCGGGTTAGCTCTGTCAATTTGCAATGTTTCAATGATATATGTATATAGTGCTCGCTAGAAAATACCTCAATTTATTTAGTTTATCCACACGAGCCTCTAAATTATCCATGTCCTGATTCTGCGCCACCCAATTAAGACGCCGGAGAGACCTTGGATGCTGAATTCTCAGGCAACGCATTTGTCACAATATATACTATGGCTTTCCATGAAGGGAAGAAAAATATCTCTTTTTCACGCACATGCTTCCCAATTGCTAAACGATGTGATTTCTAAAACTTTTTTTTATGGAAAAATTGCTTTTAGAAAATCATATTAATTCATTTGTTAAGTTTAAAATAATTAATACTCAAATCATCAAGCGCTAATGGCTCATCTTGTTTTACATATCTTCTCAATCTTCTCTTTTCCTCTTCTCTCAAACACACCCTTAAATGCAGTTTACTTGAAAACTCCATATATTACCACACCCTTGATATTTTAGCTATCACTACACATATAAATTGAAATTCACATAGTTTTTCAACTCCCATTTGAATAGAGAATTACCTGATTTGGACAATCTTCTGGTAGATAATGTAACATTTGATCAATTTTCATGCCTATACACTTCAATGCTTCATCATCCGGTAGACGCTGCATCAGCCTGTTAATTGTTGTGCGCAAATTCTTCGTAGTTACCTACAAAATGCAAAATTGTAAACTGGCATACCGAATATCTATTGACAGTGGTGACAGTTTAGCCAACATACAATACTATATTGCTCCGATTGCAGGACTTTCTTCCATATGTCCTCTATCTTTCGACGCTGGCTCTCCCATGCTTCCCATTTCTTCAATTCCCAACCTTCCGTTTTGGTCTACGCACAATACTGGCCTTCTTGTATGAATCCAATCGTACAAGTGATTTCACAAAGGTGTAGACTTGCATACTCCCTGGTTTGCGGGGACTGAAATCTAACAGCTTCTCCATATTACTCAATTTAACCTCGACGTTCTTTCCAAGCAGCTCATAAGAACATAGGTTCCTGGCATCATGTTGCAACACAATCTTATCCCTATGAACAATATTTGGTCCAGGTATGTGCTGTGCTGAGGGCTGAATAATGTACTTCTGGATCCACTTTTGCTCTAGATTGATGTCAAGAGCCCAGATCTGAATCTCACCTCTAAGCAATATGGGTTGATTATCACTAGTTTGACATGTTGCAATGCATACCTTTCCATCTATCTCTTTGATCCAGTACCGACGAGGACCATAAAATGCAGAGTCTTCAAGTGCTGCTGTTGGCAGTTGTATGCGTCCAAAACTTTCTTTGTTAAGATCGAAGGACATGACTGCATGATGCCAACTGGTTCCCTGGTCTTCAGTTAGCCAATACATTGTTCCATCAACATTGACTACTCCAGAGTTCTTCACACAGTTCAAGCTTAGAGCCTCTGGGGCTCCTATATATTTCCATTTCTCATCACCAAGTGTGTAAACTTGAACGCCATCGAAGCTGTCAACTTTTGCACGGATGCGAGTCTCATGACTACTAGCAAGGAAGTGTGTAACCTTGTATTCTTTTGTCAATGGGTGAAATCCAAAGCTGTAGAACGAGAAGTGATCGTCCGTCAAATTCTTTGCCGGTTTCGCAAGATGCAGGCATTCACCAGTTGCAAGGTTTGCTATCTTGATTGTTGTAGTGTGTGTGTATAAGCAAACAAGCCCATTGGAGGAACCACACAGGAAATCATCTGGCCCAATCACTGGCACATCCCATATTGACTGTGACCAGGCTTCATCGATGAGGATGGCTTCGCTCGGGTACAGCCCACATGAAGAAACCAACTCTCGAGGGAAGAATAGGAGCGCACAATGGGGCGCAAGCTGGAGGTGTGATGTTACAAATTTGGGATCTTGGATTATGCTGCGCCACTGCTTGCAGACACCAATGCAATTCAACAAAGTTTTCACTGGAAGGCTCAGAAATACCTGCTCGATCAAGTCTCTTGGGAGGCGGCTGATTATGCATTCTAACTTTTTCCGCTTATTTGATTTGGCTTTCTCAGATACCATGCTGAGAACAATTTAATCCGCCAACACAGTGACTAGACAATCCTTCTGCAAACACACACATTATCAAGATGATGATTGGGCATACTGCATGCATAGAGACTAAGGATTGAACAACTTACAGGCAAATAACGCGAAAACTATGCAAACTATATTTCATTTTCATTTTATCTTTTGTGTACTAAACAATTCATAAATGAATAAATCATTAAGCCTCTTCAACATTATCCTCGCAGCAAAAAAATCTCTAAATCACTCTCAACTACAAATACAGTCCCCAAATCCTCACCCTTCAGCCAAAAGATTGAATACTACAGTCGCACAGAAGATATATTACATCTGCATCCCCCTGTTCTCTCCAACCTAAGAACAAATAACGCATCATTTTTACGACCACTCTAGACCACAATTCACATGATGCTTACTACTCATTTTTTACCACAAAAATTTCAGATGACGCTTAGCCGCAATTAGGGGAACACCCTGACCTGTCGCGAACCCTAGCCGCCATTAGGGAGGAATCAACCAAAGCGTCGCAAACAAAGCGCGCTTCAGCGGGAGCAAAAAACCAACTGGTTGGGGAAACTTACGAATTACTATTACGAGCACGATCAGATGAACTCCGCGGCCGCCGCCATTGGTGGGTGGGATGGGAGAGCTCTCCCCCTCTCCTCCGTGTCGTGTGGGTAGCAAAACCGTTCGGCTTCCTCCACTTCCGCATTTATCTTATGTGGGCTTTCGTGCAGCCCACAAAAAGGCCCATCTTACGTGGGCCCATCCAGGCCGTGGAAGTTGGGCCGGAATTTCTCGGTTTGGTCAAAGCGCGCGGGCGAGGAAAGCGTGGCCATCCCACCTCGCATCTACCTCCTCCGTGCTACTAACGCCCAACGGATTCGACCATGGCGGCGACGAGGTCGACCGCGACGGCGGCGCTCGCGCTCTCCAGAACCCTCGCCCGCCGCCCCGCCGCCTCCTCCTCCTCTAGAAGAATCTCCCTCGAACTCTCCGCCCCGAGAGGCACCAATCCATTCCAATCCGCCGCGTTCTCGTCCACCACCACCGGAGATCCGCCGCCGCCGACGATGGATTCGCCGATCAAGGTGGTGTCGCACATCGGGGGGAGCGGTGGGGATGGGGGAGGGGGAGCGATCGACGCGGGGAGGTCGGCGAGGAAGCCGCTGAGCCTGTGGCCCGGGATGTACCACTCGCCGGTGACCAACGCGCTGTGGGAGGCGCGGTCCAGCATCTTCGAGCGGATGATCGACGCCGGGGCCGCGGGGAAGCAGCAGCAGCAGCCACCGCAGACGGAGCTGCTGACGAAGACGCCCGCGGGGAGCCGGACCAGCATCGTGTACAAGTTCGCCACCGACGACATCCTCCGGGAGCAGTACAGGGACCCGTGGAACGAGGTGCGCATCGGCAAGCTGCTCGAGGACCTCGACGCCCTCGCCGGCACCATCGCCGTCAAGGTACTCTGCAATTGCTCCATCTCTCTCTATTGTGTGGATCGTATCTGTGTGACCTGCACTCGCTTGGTGGATGTGATCATGTGCCATTACAAGTTACAAAAACAAAAATGAAATCACTACTCTAGCATGGAATTAGCAATTGAATCTAGATGTGAATTGGCGAGAGAGAATTGGGAGTTTGAGACAAGGGACTTTACAATTGTCCTGTTCATGACTTATAAGTTTTTTTTAGACAGAGAGATAAGCCTGCCCCATTTTTCTACTATGAGAAATGGCAGCTACATAGTTTGAGTTCAAACCAAAACTCATAAGTATTGCTAATCGCTGATAATGCTCTAAGTATCCTGTTCATAAGTACTATGTTGTATTTGGTAAAAATATCTATTTGTGAACCGAGGGGATAATAGCTGAGATATGTTTCCTCCCAATCCTAATGTTATATTTGGAACCAGCATGAAGTTTCACTATGTAGATAATAACACTGAATAATGATGGTACTAGACTGACAGTTGGTAGTTTGGTACTGGTCTACCTGAAGCAGCAGAGGTTACCCTACATTCTCATTGCACACCTAGCCCTATGCCGCCGACTAGTTCAGTCTCTTGTTGCTAACATTCATTTCATACATCCAGGTTAGCAAAATAATTCTACCTATGGATGATAGAATTATAGCTCTTACTTTTATTCATTTTGAGTTTTACATGGTATATTGAGGCAGCATCCTTTTTTACTTGTAATTGGCATCTTTTTGAAAAATCTTATTTGGGGTTTGGCATGCAGCACTGTTCTGACGAAGATAGCACAACAAGGCCCCTTTTGCTGGTGACTGCTTCTGTAGATAAGATGGAGCTAAAGAAGCCAATTTGTGTGGACACTGATCTGAAGATAGCTGGAGCTGTTACTTATGTTGGCCGTTCTTCAATTGATATACAAATTGAAGTGACTCAAGTTGATCAAGGTAGTTTTGGTAAAGCAGTATTGCCAGCTTATTTATTTGTGTTTTTTATACTACTTAGTATAATTTATTCTGTTCTATTTTAACTGACTTATTTTAAATGATGCTATCTTGCTACAGATAGTGATATGCAATCAGATCCAATCGCTCTAACGGCTAACTTCACGTTTGTTGCACGAGATTCTATGACTGGAAAGTCTGCTCCAGTGAACCGCCTTTCACCAGAAACTGAAAAGGAGAAACAACTATTCGCAGAGAGGGAAGCAAGGGACAAGCTGAGAAAAAGAAAGAGAGAAGAACAGAAGGGGGTGTTTGAAAATGGGATAAATAAGCTTCATGTTGAGGCTGAGCGACTAAATAGTTTACTAGCAGAGGGCCGTGTTTTCTCTGATTTGCCTGCTTTAGCTGATAGAGATAGCATCTTGCTGAAAGACACTCGCCTGGAGAACTCTCTTATCTGTCAGCCTCAACAACGGAACTTGCATGGACGAATATTTGGAGGTTTCTTGATGCACCGAGCATTTGAGCTTGCCTTCTCAACTGCATATGCCTTTGTTGGGCAAAGACCTTGCTTTCTTGAAGTTGATCATGTTGACTTCTTAAAACCAGTAAGTAGCTAGCATATTCTTTTTTGATAGTTCTGTGTAATTTAGCCCTATCTAGAGTGAACTGAGCCGCCAATTTATAGTTAGCTTGCATCATGAAATCTTGGCTTCTCTAATTTGCACAATCAGATCATTTTATGAATTGAAGATTCCTTTGGATGACAGTAATAACCATGTCACTATTATGCTTGCACAGGTGGATGTAGGAGACTTTCTTCGATTCAAGTCATGTGTCTTGTATACCCAGCTCGACAATGCAGAGCAGCCTCTGGTCAATGTTGAAGTTGTTGCTCATGTAACAAGGCCTGAGCTCCGGAAGAGCGAGGTATATCCATTACTGCTTTGATTGCATCAGTTATACGGCCATGCTTCCTTCGGTGCCTTAAGTTCTTGCTGTGATTGTCAGTGTACTGGTTTGCTAACTGTTTTATCTGCGTACAGGTTTCCAACACATTCCACTTCACCTTCACCGTCTGCAGCGATGCATTGAAGAACGGACTGAAGATACGCCATGTTGTTCCCTCTACTGAAGAAGAGGCACGGCGCATATTAGAGCGCATGGACGCAGAGGGTTTGTTCGACTAGTCCTGCAGAACCGCTTGTTTCAGCCACATGTCTTTTTTTTTTTACTGATCAACGTCAGCTAATGGGAAATGTAAAGATGATTTAAATAACATCAGATAAGTAGTAGCATGCTGGCAATATAGCGGCAAAATGCTAGTTATATGATTACTTTTGCAATTCCTTTTGCAGACATTTGGGGGTATATAATAAACATAAACCTCGAGACTCAAAATGCGCACCATACTCCTTTGTTCTCCATTTTGCTTAGTGCGTTATGTCAGCTTTAATTTGGTGTGCAATTTTCAATTGCTTTTAGGCATCGTGCTTCTTCAAACGTTCTTTGTTGTCAGACCACCAGATGTTCAACTGGATGACTCATTATCTGAATAATGCATGTATGGCTAGAAAGAGTGTTCATTGCAGCATGCAGCAAACTGAAGAAGCTTGACTGCTTTGAGGCCAATGCCATCAGGTTTTAAATAACAGAAATCCCTATCAAAAGGGTATAAAAGTGCATCATCTGTCAGACCTTGAAAGAGGATTAAAAGGGGGCTATTGCTAGGAGTACTTTACTTTTATCACGAGATTCAAGCATTCAGCATGATCACAAAAGCTCCTGTCTAGTGATTCTTAGCATGCTGAATCATGTACAATGCCACTTTCACCTTTGGTAGGCCATTGGCTGGGATGATGCTTAGCATGCTGAATCATGTACTAGTACATATAGACTTTGATCTACACTTATCTGCTACAGTTACAAAATACTTATGTGATTCTAAAGTCCTAGCCTGCATTGCTTTTCTTCAGACAATAACATGCAGGCTCCAACGGCTAGGACGATGAGCTCTCCTCCTCGGAGCTACTGGGTTGGACTGCGTTGAACCTCGCAAGAACAGGTGCATTCTCCAGCCGGAGCGAAGATCCAATCGCTGTTCTTTCGTTCATCCTGCCGACATCCTTGCAGACATGATCAAGAACGGTGAGGAAGTCGCGCACCACCATGAAGATTCTCAGAGGGTGCCCTTCCTCCTTCACCGAGTCACCGTGGAAGAACTCGGTCGTCTCCCTGACGAGGGAGAGGGCGAGGCTCTCCTGAGCCTGCACTGCGGTGATCTCAGCTTCGGCCTTCTGCAGGAACTCACCGATTGAGGCGCGGAATCTCTTGCAATGATCATCGGAACCGAGCTGCTGGTTCAGCTGCAGGGCCTCACTGATCTTGCTAACACCAGCAGAAAGCTTGGCAACGCAGCTGGCCAGTGTGTCTGAGTCCATTCCAGCTGCCTTCTTGACATTGCCGAGCTCACCACCAAGGCTAGCAACAATTCTGAGGCCAACCTTCTTGCACTGGAAATCATCTGCAATGGCACTCCCCTGGTTGGATGTTTGGCCAGTGGCCAAGATGCTGGCACCTTCGGACTTGACAATCTCTTCGATAACAAAATGCAGAAGGGTTGTCTTGCCATCTGCACCCTTTACGTCGACTAACTTGAGGAGGGCATCAAGCTTGAAGGCGCTTGCATTTCCGCGGTTGGTGCCAGTGTTCATGCGGTTACCGGTCTTCAGCACTGCATCTAAGATCTTGTGGAACAACCTGCTGCCCCTCAGCTCTTCACATGCTGCCTGCAATAGCAATGCACAGTTGCAACATCTTCATCATCCGTAACTCATAATGTTGCCAATAAATTGCTCTTCACCCTATTCCTATTAACTGTAGTAACATGAAACTCGGGAAAACTGCACCGACTTTGATTCGACTCAGAGCATATTTGTACTTCTATTTCATTCAAAACAACTAATGGAACCTGCTAGGACAAGGCAGGACATAACTAGTACCTCAAGAGTTTTGAAGGAGGTCTTGAGGTAGTCAACCTCCGAATCGAAGTTGGCGATGTAGAGCATTGCTTCGACCCTCTTGAACGCAAATGGTATCGCAAGCACCGCCTTGAGGAAGCTTTCGGCAGGGCCGAGCTTAGATACGGCATCCTCCCTGAATTCCTTCAGCTTGATTTCCTCTTCTCTGCTAGGAGCCATCTTTAGAAGTGTCTCCAGCAGCTCAGTTCCAAGGCTCTCTGCCTGGCCTGCTCCCAACAATGGCGAAATGTTCAGAAACTTGACGATCAGACAAAGCATTCTCTGAATGCAGGGTTAGCTCAAATTCTAAAGATTATCATTGCCAATATCTCAGCTCACCATCCAGGAGAGCCTTGCAGACTTCCTCCTTCGTCGCGTCGAGCGCCCTCAGCATGATCGCGATGTTCTGCGATTTCTTCGGGTCCAGCACCTTGTTCTCCTGGTTGCAGCAAGCTGCATTTGCCTCCTTGACTCCATTCTTGGATGCTCTCCTCGTCGAGTTGGAGACGAAGAGCGTCTCGATCATCTCTTCGTTCACTCTGCTCATACACAAGCAAACAAGATTGCAGCTCTTCAGTATCAGAGCTAAGTGATCATGGCTGCTGCTAAATCCAATCACCAAGAAGCGATATCGCGTGGGGAGCTCACCGGAATGAGCTCGCCTTCAGCTGGTCCCACACCGTCGGCCGGCCGGAGCTCGCCGGCCGCACCTTGTCCCAGTGCAGCGGCTTCAGCTTCGGCCGAGCGGCCGCGTCGGCGGCCTTCTCCTCCGGCGAGGCGCGCGCCGGCGACTCCTCCGGGTGGACTGCCCCCGCCGAGGCCCTGATCACCGTCGGCGCGGCGCGCTCCGTGTACCGCCGTGGCAGCCAGCCGCTGCCGTTGCCGGCTCGCGGCAATGGCGGGGGAGGCGCGGGCGCTGCTTGCGTGCTCGCGTTGTCCGTTCTCGGCGGCATTGGCGGCGGAGGAGGAGGTGGTGGTGGTGGCGGCGGCGGTCGAACACTCTGCGGTGGCGGCGCTCGCTTGTCCTCTGCTCCGGCTTCATGGATGGTTTGCGAAGTTGACGGCATGCTCGTCCTCGTCTGCTGGAACTGCCGGGGTAGAGGCGGCATCGGCCGGAGTTCCGGCGAGCTGGCGCTGGAGGCTGCGGTGGCGGTGGACCCCCGGCCATGCTGGTCGTGGTCGCCGTCGTAGAGCGCCGTGGAGTTCCCCGGGGAAAGCAGCACGGCCTTCGTATGCGCCGCGTGCGGCTCCCCCTTGGAGCAGCGGCGGCGTCGCGTGAGGAGGTAGACGAGCGCCGCGGCTAGCACGGCGGCGAGGACGGCGGCGACCGGGAGGAGGACGGTGAGGAGGCGGTGCGACGACAGGAAGGAGCGGAGCGGCGCGGAGTGGTAGATGGGCATGGCCATGTACGAGATGTTCGCCGGCGCCGTGGGGTGCGGCGACGCCGACGAGGACGAAGACGAAGACGCGTCCCCGGTGGCGGCGGCGCCTGCGTCCGTACCACCATCTCCGGCGCCACCGGCGGGAGCGGGCGTGGTCACCGGCGGTGGCAGCTGCGGCGGGGCGGAGTCAGGCAAGAACGGAAAGAACGGCGCCGGTGGCGGCGGCGGCGGCGGTGGCAGCGCGGGCGCGTTCTCGAGAGGGAACAGCGGCTCGTGCAGCTCCCTCCTACTGCCGCTGCTCCTCCACCGCCGCGGGTAATGGCGGCGGCCATGCCGATCTTGATGACACCAAGAAACAGGCAGCAAGAGGAGCAGCACGAGCAGCCACCGCGCGAGCATTGGCGCCAACGCCCAAGCCCAAGATGATCACTCAAGAATCGAATCGAGGGGCAGCTGCTGTCCTCTCCTCTCCTCCCCTCAATCTCTCGTCTCACCGCTCCAACCCAACCCAAGCAAAGCGAGGAAGAAGAAGAGAGAGAGAGAGAAGCTACTAGTAGGAGGGAGTGGTGTTCTCGAGGAGCGGGAGTGATGTGAACAGCTGTGGGTAGGCGAGGGGAGCAGGAGGTGGAAGAAGCTGGGGAGGGAGGCATGGGTAGTGGTGCGACATGGAGCGGAGCGGTGGTGTGTGTGATGGGAATGTGTGCTTTGGATTCTTGCGCCTTCTTTCTGTGACCATGGAAATGATGGCCGCCGTGCATTGCCTTTCATGATTTTTTTTTTTTTACATTTCACTCCTTCAGTTTTATATTATAAATCGCTTTAACATATTATTAAGATGTAGTATTAAATTTTAATTTTAATTAGATTAACTTTGTGCTTTAGATATTGCTTAAATTTTCTATCGTAAACTTTCTTAAAATGACTTATAATATAAAACGTCAGGATTAAATCTTTTCAAAAACTAATTTGTAGATTCTTAAAAGATATTTAAAAAATAGATCATTTTCTCGGCATGAGTGTTATTCGCGTCGTACTCCAATATGACAACGTTAATAATATTGAAGCTGAGAATATACTTATAAAAAAAGTTAAATAAACTAAGAACCTGTTTAGTTTAATTTGAGAAAAGAAAATTTTTAGGTGTCACATCGGACGTTTGACCGGATGTCGGAAGGGCTTTCGGACACGAATGAAAAAACTAATTTCATAACTCGCCTAGAAACCGCGAGACGAATCTTTTGAGCCTAATTAATCCGTCATTAACACACGTGGGTTATTGTAGCACTTATGGCTAATCATAGACTAATTAGGCTCAAAAGTTTCATCTCACGATTTCTCCCTTAATTGTGCAATTAATTTTTTTAATTTATATATATTTAATGCTTCATGCATATATTTAAAAATTTGATGTGATGTTTTTGGGAAAAAGTTTTTGAAACTAAACAAGGTCTAAAAGGTAAATATTTTTATCACAGGTATATTCTCGGCGGCAATCACACTCACATCAAGAACCTATCTGTAAGGAAAAAATAATCATTTTCAATTTTTTTACAAATATATCCTCGACGTCCACCTTCGCACCAGTGATCTAGCTTCCAAAGGAGGACGAGGAGGATGTTGGCGCTGTCATGTTAGATCACGTCATCACGGTGCAAATGTCACTGGCGCAAAGAAAATGATCCATTTTTTAAACAAGTTTTTCTAAATTTCAAATAAGCTATTAAAAATGTCTAAAATATAAAAATCAAGTTGCTCCTCAGCTCCTCCTGCCCATGGAGATGGAGCTCAGCTCACAGGTTCACACTTCACAGCTCATTGTTGTATGTCAACTAGGGCTGTGTTTAGATTTATGGGTGAAAAATTTTAGCATGTCACCTCGGAAATACGGATATATATTTAAAGTATTAAATATAGACTAATAATAAAATAAATTATATATTTCGACTGTAAACTGCGAGACGAATTTATTAAGCCTAATTAATCAATCATTAACAAATGTTTAATGTAGCACCATATTATTAAATCATAGAGCAATTAGGCTTAAAAGATTCGTCTCATAAATTAGTCGCAATCTGTGTAATTATTTATTTATTTAGTCTATAGTATTTAATACTTTATACAGGTGTTCAAACGTTCGATGTGACATGCCGTTAGCTCGGTGACGAACTTACGATCAGGTACCCAGGTTATGAGAAATACTCCTATATAGTATATGCAATTTACACCAAACAAGATTACGAGGATCTCATGACATTGGTGCATGGTCCTGAACAGTTGATTTAAGCCTAAGGGGGTGTTTGGGAGAGAGAGAAAAAACATAAATCCCTCTCTGCCAAACACCCACTAAACTTTAGCTACTTCAGCAAATACTTCAGCCACATTACGGCCCTCTTTGTTTCAGCTTATAAGCCAACTTATAAGCCGATGGCCTTCTTTGTTTAGGCTTATAAGCCAACTTATAAGTCGAAAAGTCTAAGCCTAAACAAACTAGCAGCTTTTTCGTTTGGCTTTTTTAAAGCTATAAGCCACTCTAACACTATTACGCCAAAAGCTAGGTTGGAGAAGCTTTTTTTTTTGGCTTATGTTAGCTTACTGGCTTATATGATTTATAAGCCAGTGAATTTAATGTCCTAAGTTTAGTGGTTGAGTAATACATCTACCTCACATAAGCAAAAAAAAAAAGCTTCTCCAACCTAGCTTTTGACTTAATAGTGTTAGAGTGGCTTATGGCTTCAAAAAAGCCAAACGAAAAAACTGCTTGTTTGTTTTGGCTTAGACTTTTTGACTTATAAGTTAATAGTTAGAGAAGCTTTTTTGGCTTATGTGAGGTAAATGCATGACTCTACTATTAAACTTAAGACATTAAATCCACCTGCTTATAAATTATATAAGCCAATAAGCTGATTTAAAAGTCTAAAATCAATAAGCCTAAACCTAATAAAAAGGGCCTACATAGTACAGTGCCACTCCTACGTACTCCGTATTATCAGTCCTAGTATTACCCTGTTCATGCCGACATCATGCTACATAGGATGTTGCCCAGAAGCAGGCTAATCTAGATTATCACTGACAGCTTCTTGTTCTCGAACACGAGCCGAACACATTATTGCTGCGTGTCAGCAGCAAACAGTGCCAATCACCTGTCACCGTCCATGCGTCCCAGTTCGTCATGCTGTACTCGTACGACACACGAGGATTGTGTTCTGGTCATTAATAAACACTCCAACACTCTTAATTAGGAGTAGGAGTAGTAGAGTAGTACTCCCTTTATAAAAAAAAAAAAAGACAAACCCTGATTTTCCGTGTCTAATGTTTAACGATCTGTCTTATATAAATTTTTTTTATAATTAGTATTTTTATTATTGTTAGATGATAAAACATGATTAATACTTTATACGTGACTTATCTTTTTACTTTATTTTATTTTTTTTAAATAAGACGAACAGTCAAACTTAGACACAGAAACCTATGATTTGTCTTTTTTTTTTGGACGAAGTACACAACAAATTAATCCTCTTGTCTGAACCTGGATTAGCGACAAGCTTTGCTTACTCCCAAAACAGGACAGCAACAGAAGATTTACATTAGAAAATGAGGATGTTTGTGTGTGTGTGAATGTGTGATGGAGGTTGTCATTTTTTGACCAACGTTCGGCGACCACAGTGATGATGGGGCCCAGCAGCAGTCAGTCTCAGTGGGCGGTGGGGCCCCACTCTCTGACACAGATGAGGGGTGGTTTGCTTTGAGGCTTATATTTTCCTTACCAATATTTGACAATTTCAATAGTGTTTATTTGATTTGGAACCAAATTTTGGCATACCTAAAAAAATAGGCCATTTCAACAGTTAATTTAGACTATTTTAGCTTCAATACAAACATAATTTTACCTTTACTAGCCATGCTAAAAATTACCAAAATTTAAAATTAATAAAAATTGGTAAGGCCAATTTAGTCCACAAAACAAACCAGCCCGAGATGACGAAGAAGCCCGTTTCTCCCTTGGCATACTCGGCAGCTTGCAGCAGCAGCTTTAAATGTGTCACCAGAAAACACGCAGTGCTTCACACTTTGAGTCTTTGACTACGCAGGCAACGTGTGGGGCCCACTCGTGCGTACCAGTATTCTGGAGTACAGTACTCCCTCCGTCCCACAGTGCTAGGGATTTTATGTTTTTCTTATGACCACCTGTCTTATTTAAATTTTTTTATAAATATAAAAAATAAAAAGTTGTGTTTAAACTACTGTAGATAATAAATTAAGTCACAAATAAAATAAATAATAATTTTAAATTTTTTTTAATAAGACAAGTAGTCAAACGTTACAAGCAAAAAATCAAAATCCCTTATATTATAGGACAGAGGGAGTAGAATGTACGCTCTCTCACGTGATAAGAATAAGATTAGTCCAAGAATCCATTGCCTACCGTATGATAATCCATTTGTTCATGGCAATGGTCAGTTTAGCTTTGAGTTATCCTATTTTAACAAGCAAATTTTACTGAGCCATCTTTTTTTTTAATCAAGGTTGTAGAATTAACTACTGCTAGGTAAAACCAAATAGTGTAACTATCCTTTGCACTTCGGTGTTCACAACTTCGCTAGATACTTCGAAATTTGATGTTTGAATATTTATACGTAGTAATAAAACACTACTACCATTTATTCGACATGATGTAGTATAACCTGCTATATTTGTTGTTCTCGTGCTAACCTATCGTAGCTGCAAATCCGGTTTAGGAACCTTTTAAATCGTAGAAATGAAAAAACAGAGGAATATGAAAAACACACGGTTCTGACAGGAATACAATTGTAAAACAGAGGATTGCAAAACACAGGAAAAACATAGGAATGGCTGTTTGATTGGACCACAGGAAAAACGCACGAAGAGCGAAATGGTAAAGTCCATCACCGGTCCCTAAACTTGTTGGAGGAAAAACGCACGAATCAGATGATATAAAGTTTTTAGACCGTCCTGTTTAGGGACCGGGGTGACACAACTGAACAAGTTAGAGGATCTAAACGAGTGATCTACTCCTATACAAGCTGGAGTACAAGTTTAGGGACCGGGATGATACAGTCGAATAAGTTTGAGGACCTGAACGATCGATTTGCGAGTTTAGTGACCGGGATGACACAGCGGTACAAGTTTAGAAACCGGTGATGGACTTTACTCTAAGTGAAAATATCAGCTTTGTTCCTGATTTATCATAAAATTTTGGTTATTAAAGGTGACTGAAAATGAAATTTACTATACTTTAACCATCAATGTTTTTTAAAGTAGTCTGACTACTTTAACCATTAGTGTTTAGTATCAAGGTTGTATTAATTATATTTATAATCTAAAGTACTTTACTAGTAATATTTAAATTCAAATCTATTTGTTTTGACATTTCTTATGAAATGTTAAATCAAAAGTGTTTATCTACCTCCTTTCTAGACCGATAAATATTTGTGATTGTGAACAGAGAGAGAGAGAGAGAGAGTATCGTGGAGTTGTGAACGGCGAGAGTACTATTTTATTGTGCAGTAAATATTCTAAACTGGTACTGTAGGTAATAAACGAGAATGGTATTGTGATTTCTTTTTTCACAGCAAAGAACGGACCATGTCAAAAGTCTCAGCAGCAAAACTTTTGTTAGTGAGGTATACTGCTTTGTACTATCAGAGAAATGTTCTTTGCACTGCTTTGTATAGTGAGCTAGTAACACCTAAAG